TTCTATATATACAAATATATTTTTAGCTGTAATTTGTTTGCTTTTCCCCCCTTTTTTTCAGCTTATTGATCACTCGAACCAGTGTTATTTTCTGACAGTGTGCTCTTATTGTTCTTCTCCAGGGCCGGAGAGGATGGCCAGATCCGACCAGTGGTAGACCAGCTAGCAGCGGTGTGCAGCCCGTAGGGGTGAGTACAACTGGTCTGTGCGGGTTCTGGACGGCCTGGCAGATTACAACCGTGGGAAAAACTTGCGGTTTCGATGGGTCCAGGACGGTTCAGGAGGAAGGAAGACGAGGGCGGGAAAGAAATCACGACTCAACGTCCCATTTTTAAACGGCGGATAATTTCAAATGAAAACGGAAAGATGGCATATGACGTATGAGGAGGACGTGGTTTTAGATCAGCTCGGGAAGGCTTTAGAGACACAGAGAGACGGAAAGACAGAGAGAGCGAAAGAGGTTGTCAGTGACACCCATAGGTGCGCGCGGGGCGAGGTGGGGTCGGTGGGGTCCGTAGGTGGCGCGCGGTGCGGACCGCTGCGCCTTTCTCCTGTGGGCTGATGGTCAAGGTGAGACACCATCCCCTCCCCTTGCCCTCTCCATCGCAGCCAGACCACCGTCTCTCTATCTCCTCCTCTTCCTCCTGCTCACCCTCTCTAGTGCCTCTCTCTTTCTCTCTCGCTAGCAAAAGCTCTGCCACGGTCCTGCCTTTTATCTGCAGCAGCAGCATAAAAAAAAAAGTTGCAACAGTAAAACTATTCCGCGCCCCGTGTTTGGAAATGCTGTTGTTACTTCTAGACGGCCGTATGCATGTAGCGCAGAGTGTCTTTTAGAGAACGGCCGAGCCCAAGGGACTAATTTCTGTTCTCATTTTGATGGCGTAGCAGCGGGCCCCCCGCGCTCCTGGAGCTGCTGGTCCGGCAGGGCTCGGAGGCGCTCGGAGGCTCCGCTGCTGGAGACCCGTTGCAGGGCCTGCCAGCCCGGCCCGCTCCAACGCTCTAGCCTCGGCTCTAGCCGGCTAGTCTTGTCCGCTAATTTGCTCCGGACCGTGCCCCAGCCACGGACTAGGGGTCTAGGGGCCCAGTCGGGAAATTGCTCCGAGGGGCCCCAAAAGATACCTTTTTGCCCTCAAGGAGCCCCAATAGATACCTTTTTTGCCCTCAAAGGGCTCCAAAAGATACCTTTTTGCCCTCAAGGGGCCCAAAAAGATACCTTTTCGCCTGGGGCCCGTTCGGGTCGCGGTTTCCCACCTGTTCAACCAGGGCCAGTCCGGGGCTGCCGTGCCCCTCTCGGAGCCCCCACTTGGAGCTTCTATACCTGGATCCTCTTGCCCCGAACCTCCTTCGTAACCTCTTCCGTACCTTCTTAAATAATTTACTCTAAATGTGAAGGAACGGAATTTTGTCTTCCGAAGGGAAACTTCGTTGTGCTCATACAAACCGGAAGCTGAACCGAAACTGGTCAAATTGTTTGAACTTGCACGCACTTTTGCCAGTTTTGGTCCTGTTTCCGGTTTGGATGTGCGTAGAAACGGTAGAAACGTTCTTGTTCAAGGAAGTAAAATTGTTCCTTTACATTTGGAGTCGACGCTCTTTCGGAAGATCTTCCGGAATCTCATCAGGAACCTCTTTTCGGAACCGCTCCTGGTCCCCCCGGGCACGGCCAGCAGACGAAATACGGCAAGTGCAGGCGGTAGGCAGACTGGCTTAGAGTGGCCCAGCCGCCCAGCCTAGCAGCGTCCCCATCTCACCGCGCCTGCTAATATTTTTGGCCGTGGAGCGCCTCGCGGCTCCGCGGCGGCACTTTCGCTCAAAAATTGCGGACTCTGTTCCGGAGGCGGCACCTTACTTTGTATGATGTGTGTAGTGCCTCCTCGGGAGCTCGGGTGGGTGCGGTTCAGCCAGCCGTGGACTAGCCACTGGCAAAACAAAGTATCTTAGTTTGGCACGTCAATGTTGTATGAGCTCAAGTGCACTATGGACGCCACTAAACTTGGCACACTTGAACCTCGACTTAAACTTAAAAATTTGTGCGGGCGCGGGAAAGGTTTTATATATGCAGGGTGAGAGTTTGGCTCTGTTTTTAATGCAGGGCTGCTTGGAACCTGGAGCGTTTGCTTCCAGCCGCTAAAATCGGAGCTGAACTGTGTCTCCCTTTCAGTCAGGGCCTCGAGGTCAACACGCCGTGACGACCCAAGGGGGCCCTTCTTTCTCTCTTGTGGGTCGCCTTACCAGTGCCTCTGGGTCTGGGGCGTATCTGCTGGTAGGTAGAGAAGAGAAGGAGGAGAAGCCCCCCTAGTGATAGTAGTGGCCCGTGTGGCGTTGCCCTCCATAGGTGTGACTATCTCTATGCCCCGGGGCAGTGCAGGGCCTCGCAGGGCTGGGAGCGCGGCAGAGCGGGGGGCGACCACATCTAGCCAGCAGCGCGGTGCGTTCCACCTGGTTCGGCTCGGCTGGGATGGGCTGGGCTGGCCTTTGACTGGTTCATTGCCCTTGCCCTGCTGAACGCACAGGTCTCGCTGGCATCGTGTTTTGGCTAAGGAGAAGGAGGAGGATAGAAGGATAGGAGGAGGATAGGAAGAGGATAGGATAGGAGGATGATAGGAGGAGGATAGGAGGAGGAGGATAGGATAGGAGGAGGATAGGATAGGAGGAGGATAGGATAGGAGGAGGATAGGATAGGAGGAGGATGATGATGATGATGATGATGATGATGATACACAATTGGACCTTACGAAGTAAAATGCGAAATCCTTCGTACCTACGAAGTATTTTGCTCCCTACGAAGCTTCCAAATCCTTAGTACCCTACGAAGGATTTGGCATTTTTCTTTGTGAGGTTTTAACAGTGTAGGAGGAGGAGGCGAAGGATACAAGAAGGAGGCGAATGATAGGAGAAGGATAGGATGGAGGATAGGAGGAGGGTTGAGGTGAAACGAAGGCGTTTCGGGGTGTCAAGGCCCAGCCGTGTGCACGTGTGGTGTGTGACGGGGGCATAACCTTATCCATGCAAGAGCGAAAGTCTTGTTTGGCTGCTGCTGTCTTTTCTTGGCGGGACGGCGGACGCGGGCGCGCGCGGGACGCAATCAACAAGTAGGCGGAGAGGACGAGAGAGAAAGAGAGAGACAGACGCGTGGGGTCTTCGACCTGCCGCACGCTGCTGCTGACGAGACAGAGAGAGACAGAAGGCGATGCGAAAGTATTGGTGAAAGAGGGAACGAACGCAAAAAAGAAAGAGAAGGGGGGGGGGCTATTGTAAATAAAGCAACTAGCTCATCATCATTAATCTACCACCGCAGCCGCGGCGTGCGTTGCCAATTGCAGCAGATGTACAGGGATGATGTACAGTACAGCGCCCTTCTTTTTTAGGCTTGGCTTTTTCTTCATGTTTCTATTTTTTTCTATTTTTTTAAACGACTGTCTAAAAGTAGTCTTGAT